CTGACGGGGAAAGATGGAGTGGTGCATCCCAGCTTGGAAGTAAGAGATTTGTGGTGTTAGATGAGTGAAGTGTTTTTTGTCGAGGCTCTTCAATCTTCTGTTTCCGTTTGCAGGACAGTGCAAAGAAGCTGGAGCAGAACATCAGCCTGTTTGGGTCGACTGTGGAGAGCCTGCTCTACAGATATGGAAAGGTAGCGTTTGATTCTGGAAAAGCAGCTGTGGGGCTTTCCAGTTTCTATGAGCAAATTTCCCATTCATCATGTAAATATAAAAGTTCATAATGAGCGGTGGTGTTTGTCTGTTACACAGCTGCTTCAAGTTGTGTTTTGCGACTGTGCTTTTGTAATCACAGCTTTACCCAAAGAAGCTATAAACCTTTTGGTAGCCGGATAGTTTCCCAGATTCTCAGTTCCTGTATCCTTTGACTGGTTTAGATCCAGCACGCACAATCTTTCCTCAGAGGACTTAAATGTTGCCAAGAGTTTGAATATCGAGGTTCAGGCTGCTTACATGTAAGAAAATAAGCAGTGAAAAGTTTAAAGGCTAACAGCACATGCAAATCATTTCTTCTTCTCTTTAATGATATTTTCAGGAAATTGAACAAAGCTATTAAAGAAGATGGTCTCATTGGAGGCAGGGTGGAGGAACTGATGCATTTAAGTAGAAAATTGTTGCTATGGCTCAAAGCCTTGACTAAATGAAAGGAGTGATTGAGCAACAAACCGTGCTCTAACTGCTCATGCTGTAATTGTACAGTAATGCTGAGTCAGTGTCATTACAGGACTGATTATCTGTAGTGTTACAATGCAGGGAAAACTCATTCCTTAACTGCCCATCAGCCCCAAGCTGCTATTTCACTCTGAAATCTAGATGGAAACTATGTCAGTTTATTCATTTCATTAGTTTTACTCACATGTTTTACCCATGGCAGCAGGACAACAATAAAGGCCGATGCTAGTTAACCGTGTGCTTCTTCAGTTGCACAGTGACTTGACTAGGTTTTCGTCACTAAAATACGAAAGCTAAAGTTGAGGTAACTGTCCCTCACATGTCTCTCCTCCTCTCCCCTGATGATGTCAGACCATAGTGGACGAGCAGCTCGTCCTGAAGAGGGTGGCAGACGTGCTGATCCACATGTACGCTATGACAGCCGTCCTGTCCAGAGCGAGCCGCTCCATTAGCATCGGCCTCAGGAATCACGACCACGAGGTTTGTACGCTCTGTGCACACTCACACAGTTTAGAGGTCTCTCACACGCAGAATAAATATTCACATTGAACTTGTTTGTTTGCCACAACGAGAGCAGTTTTCCATCGATCTCATAGGATTTCTGTACACATCACTTCCTGTGTTTACGCTGTTTAAGGCTGACAGTAAACAGCTGCCTCACTTAGCCCACACTATAAGCATCGGTATGTTCACTGCAGAGCCCGCAGCAGCCCAGCTCACACCTACAGCGGCTGAGTTCATGTTTTCACGTGCGTGAGGAGTCGGTAAAGAATTGGAGTTTACACAACTGCAATTTCAGCTTGCGTCTTAGTGTTGGAGGAAAATGCAGCAGGTGAAATTTTGAGCCATGCCAACCACTTCTGTAAAACATGTCAACATGTCAAGCACTATACCATCAACTGCTACACTGCATTCGTGTAGCAGTTCTCTACACGAATGCTAGAGAACTGCTCATCCACATTTATCGTAAGAAACTAAAGACAAAAAGATTCAGATCAAATCGTGTTCACTTGTCCAGCTGTCTCTGTAGGACCCACTTTGAGTTTTCGACCGTCAGCATGAGGACACTTTTGTTACAAGTTGTTTCTTTTGGCAGTGGTTCCCTTGAACGGCTCATTGGAGGGGCCCAACCGGACAAACTTTCTCAACGTATGACGAATCACATTCAGCAAAGCACTTACTCAGGTCCCCAGTAACACACATGCCACGTACACATGAAGCGGACCGGATGTAGAGCTTCCTGATTTATTAGTAAGATGCAAGAAGAAAATCTCCCAAACATGCAGTGCGGTCACACTCTGCTGTTGGCCAAACACTCAAGACTTTCACATTAACAGCAGCATAAAGCAGGATATGTCTCAGCTCTTTGAGGTGAATTACAAATTTAGTTTTAAGCCTTGAAGCAAGCCGACAAGCTGCGAGTTGAATCGTGACCATGAAAAGCTTTGATTTTGAACGAGGGAACTACTAATCACATTTTGCGTCACGCAGCCAATCTTATCAAATTTAATCCTTTTTCATTATCGTATTGTGTAATTGTTTTGAACACAGTGTTTGTGTGTGTGTGCACAAACGTCTACCCTAGTTATTGATATGGTATAGTGCTTTATTTGTGAGTTTGATGGTTACCACCCAAACTGATGTTTGTGGCTAGACTATTTCTTTGACATCACACAGATGAGGTTTCTACAGGAGCTCATGTCATCATTCACACATTTCAGAGTCTAGCAGCTCGTGAGAAGTTTACTTTGGATGGTTCCAGCATTACGGCTCATGATCAAAGTCCCCACGGAGAATTTGAATGTGATTTTTATTCCTCACTATTAGGCTCTATTAAATCGTATAATCTTATCTGGTGTGGTTTGTTTTGGCTGTTTTCACTTACTGCAGGACAGCGGTTCCTTCTGCAAACAATTAAAACAGCTCCACGTCTCTGTTATTCTCTATTTGTGTGTTTTTCTTT